CACTTTATTAAATTTTGCCATTTGATTCTGCAGTAATGGAGAATATTTAAAGCGCAGTGCATTTTTAAGTATTGATGAAGTATCCTGGTAGGAACAGTTAATTGAATGTTTAGTACAAGCCTGGCTATATTTGGGTGCAGGCGCATTTTTGAGGAACTTGCCAGTAGATACCATATAAAGAAATCTTTCTTTCTACATACCTACCTTATTTGTAAAAACCACAGGACTCTGCTGTAATATAGTATGGCTCAAATTCTATTTTCTTAAAACCTTCAGAAGCTATATTAGTGTTGTATTGTCAGCTCATGTTGGCACAGCTGCATTATGCTGCCCCTTTGTGGAGGGTTGATCCTCCATCTCTACACAATTCATCTGCTGCAGTGCTAATGCCTGAGAAGTATATTCATGAAACTACATGTCTGACTGCAAGGCCAAGTAACCATCAATTCCCACCTAAATAACACACAAATACACCAGTAATTTCAAAGAACATAATACCATAACATTTATTGGAAGGTTAACTGGCCACAACGATGTAAACATTTACAAAAATAACAGAACATACTAAAAATAACAGTGCAATGTGGCAAGAAAAACACTTTGGTCCTTCACGCATGCCAAAAAAAACCCCCTCACAGCTTACGGGGGTGTACCATGACCCATTTTTTACTGTACCAGGCACCGGCTGCCCATATTCTGGCCCGAATGGGTATGCCCAACAACAGGTGGCCATGTTCTTACCGGCTACAAAGCTATTGAGCCCCAGAGCCCTACCATTGGTACTTCCCTACTACTCTGCCCCTTTTCACTTTGCGGAGAGCCAGTTCTTGATCGTCAATGTATGGCACCAAGGACCCGCCCAGTGGATGACCAACCTAGAAGAAAAACAGGCGACATTGCAAGGCATTGAGTCTGACAGCTGCAGGCATTACTTCTTGAGGCAGAGGCATGATGGCAAACCTGGTGTGCCAAGGTTGCCTACCCCTGATTTCATGTGTATGTAAAGACAAGGATGTTTTTTTCAGCTGTGGATAGAGTGGGGAAGGGTTAGACCACCTGCCAAGTTCTTATTGTGGATGCAGGAATTGAAAGATGGGTAGTACTGCCATCACAACACAATACAACTCTCAAGCTGCAGGAATTGCAGTCAATATACATGATTTCTCTCATTAAGCCCTGTTGAAGGGGAAGTGTGTTTAGACCCCAGGATTGTGTTGTCTACCCTACTTGAATGTCCCCTGACTGTGGTACTTTAAACCCTACATCTACTGTGTTACTGCCAAGCCAAAGCTACTGCGTAGATGCTTTGGATTGTAGAAGCCACCTAGCCATTACCCAGGTCACCCATATTCACATCACTTAACTACTGTTGGATGAAAAACGCAGAGAGAAGACCCATATGGGTCCAATGCTTTCTTTCCACACCTTCGATTCTTATTGTGGTCTGTTTCCCATTGGGAGTGGACTAACGACTCTCTTTGTCCTAGTAGTCATTGTTACCAAGACAGAAAGTGAGAGGAGACCCTACTGTACATCTTAGAGTTGCCATGACAGCAAGAGGTGAGGATAAAGCTTCCAATAGGGACAAAAGTTATAGTCATAACTGTCTGCAATTGAAATTCCCCTCACATTAAGGAGAGTTCCTCTCACATCTTGTTGTGTCTATGAGTTTACAGTAACCTTCTGTTCTGTAGTTGATTTACCCTAACAAGGGTTATCGCAAAAGATTGGTGATAGGAGTTGCTTACATAATAATCACTCTAGGTCAGGGTTTATGATACAATGGCTATTACCTAGGATTTTTCGAGATACGTTATAAACAGCACTAGCATAGTGATGAGGAAGGGCCAGGGAGGTGAGTAGCTGTGGGGGGCACAGAAGTCAGAGGATCCGACATTTGCTTACATAATAAACACGCTAGGTCAGGGTTTCTGACACAGAGACTATTACATTGGATCTTTCTAAATACATTGTAAACAGCGCTAACATAGTGATGAGGAAGGGCCAGGGAAGTGAGCAGCTGTGTGGGAAGTCACAGGATTTGACATTCCAGGAAGTGTCAATTCTCTACCAGACTACAGGAGCAGATAAGGCTGGCCACACACTGCTTAGTCAAAAGGAGCAGGATGAACATTTCTTCTCAAGCAAATTAAATTCTAACAGTGAATGTGGTTTTCGTTCTGGAAACTCCATTCATTCCAAAATTGAATGTTAAAATACAACAAAAATTGTGTTCGACATTCAACAAGTGTCTTATGCCATATGTATGCATATTTAAGCATATGTAATTGAAGCGTTTAGCTTTTTTTTAAAACAATGATCCTTCATTCTGAAATTTATGTGTGCCTGTGAAACTCTTTCTTGTGGTACTATAATGAAGGCATAATTTGTAATTTGATTCAAGGACTACAGCATATATGTGTGCATTGATTATAGCAAGAAGGCTGATTTTCTTTTTAAGTCACTCTCACTGTTATGCCCACCATTTGCTGCAAAATTGCTTTCCTTAGTAATCCCCAAGGCTCCACAAGTCTTTAACAGTCCTAGAAATGTTTTTGAATTGAACTTCGCTGAATTGAAGAATTAACTCTTTTGTTCATATTTGCTTGTTACCTGTTCAAGGGTCTGAGCGACAAGCATTTTCCCAGTTCTCTAAAAACTTTGATGAACAATTCTTCAAGGAGATATGTCAATTGTTCTATAGTGAAGAACATTCTTCTGAGTTGTAATGTGTCTTAAACCAATAATTACGTATAAATTTATATGACAATGGGTCTCTATTGGAGCGGATTGCCTCCAAAGTGTGGTGAAAAAGAAGAATAGATATTATGGAGGCAATCTAGTGTTTCATTTTACAAAAAAAGGATTTAAAGTGTATCCTAAGCCAAAAGTTTTTTGTAGCATTGGATAGAGGGGAGAATGGTTATAACCTTGTTGTATTGCTGCCTGGGTCCCTGCTGGGAGATCCTGCCCTGCCTCTCTATCTCACCAGGACGGTGACCATTGCCACAATGATCAGAAAAACATAATTTTACAAAACAAATCGTGTCAAGGAGGGGATTTTGCCTCACTTTGGAGAGATTTATTTCACTGTTGTATCACCAAGGCAGGAAGTGAGGGAAAATCGTATAGACAGGAAACAAAAATCTAAGTTTAAACCCTTTACTACTTAAAAAAAAATACATATTCCCTTTTATAGCTATGCAGTATAAAGCAATTGATCAGGGGACCCCAACATTTTAAACAAAGGGCCATAGTTCTTCAAACTTTAAGAGGGCCAGACTTTGGCCAGTGGGAAAATGCCCTGGAATCATTGGTCAGTGGGATTAAACAGGGACCCAGGGTTGGTGGTCAGTTGGAGCAATAATAATGCCCCATCATTGATGCCAGTAGGATTAGTAGCACACATTGTTGAAGTTACTGGGAGGAATTGTGCCCCATCAATGGTGTTAGTGGAAGAAATAATGGCTTTTTGCTTGCGTCAGTGGGAGGAATAGAGTTTCATCATGTCATTGAGAGGATTGATTGTGTCTCATAATGGCATCGGGAGGAATAGTGCATCATCATGTCAGTGGGAGGAATAGTGCCCCAAGGGCCAGATAAAGGAAATCAAAGCGTCAGATCCAGTCCACAGTTTGGGAACAACTGCCATAGATGCTCTGTTGCAACTATAAATTTTGAAGCTTGTAATCACTGGGCCAATTCTGAACTAGAACAAGCACAGGGGGATGTCTAGTTTGTGGTACAATCTTCCCATGGGTATGGCCAAATGTTCACTCTTCTTTATAGCTGTGGGAAGAACACAAAAGAACACAAAATACCAAATGTAGATCACGGTCAAAGTCAGGTGAGGATCCTGGTGGGTACAAAATGCAGTACGCATATTAGTTATTCTGAATCCTTCTAGTCTGGCTTTATTAAGTGTAAATTCTGATTTGTTGCAATGGGTTACTGCTATTTGAAGTTGGTCCCTTGTTTTTATCTCACACTTAACTGCAATGCAAAAGCAACATGTTAATTTTACACAATAATCAAGTTTATCAGCTGTTCCCTTTATTTGTAAATGGTTGACATAAAATACATTGTACAGCTGAAAGGAATACAGTGTATGATCGGTTTTCTGTACACACACATTATGATAACTCATAAGTATTACAAAAACACATAAAAGTATATTGATGAGTATTAAAGACATCAAATTATACAAAAAAATACTATCAGGCTTAAGCTACTGCATTACAAAAAGAAACAAGGTCTTACAAGACCTTTTAATTTTGCCTTGTTAATGTACCAATACTTTTAAGAGATCTTACATCAGCAGATAATGCTCATACGTGGTGTTCTGTAGCTTTTACTATATGCATTGTTTTTTCTGTATAGCTTCTGTGTTTTTTGTTGTGCTATAAAAATGCATGCTACAGACTAAAGGATATGTATTTAGTAAAAATATATATACAGGAAGGCATGTAAAAGCCAATATATTCAAATTATCTGAAGATGGAAACTCCCTTTAATCTTTTTTTATCAGAAAACTAGCATTTATCTACAAAATTCAAGAAAGAGTTAGGACTAAAAGATACTTTCTGGATATGCTAAAGTCAGGTGCTTGTAAATATGTTTAAATACTTTGGCATAAAGCACAAGGGTCAGATAGCCCCAAGCACTGCAGAGCAGCAAACAAGGTGCTCATGATGTTTTAGGAGTTGCCAGCTGTTTGTCAAAAGTTCAAAAAGTTTGAGTGCTTGTCTTTTGCCTGAGGCATCCTGGTTGAAGCTGCAGATGTTTCAGCAGGCACCATAATGCTGGCAAAAAAAGTATTGTTTTGTTTGGTCTGATTAAGAGGTATTGTTAACCAGTATGTAGCTTTTCTAGGATTGTAGCCCTTAAGAGTTTTCATTTTAAGAGCACAATTCCAGGGCTTCAGATTTCCTGCCATAAATATATGTCATGATTACATCTAGAATTGACTGGACATCACATCATTTTCATCACTTTTTGGCTTGTCCAGAAGCGGACAAACAGTGGAAGTGGGGTTAAGTGTAACTGACTTTAAATCTGCAACCTCATTTGGATGGCAAGATTTTGGTTTAAGATTAGCAGCAATTGGCATATGTGTTACAAATGAAATGTTAGATAAATGGCAGTAAATGCAGAGATGAAGGCCAATGTTTTATTGTTTCTTGGGTGGCAAGCTCTTGGCCAGGTTCTGAATCTGGCTACGGAGGTTTTCTATAGAGGGGTTGAACCATTTGCGCATCTGATCTGACAGCTTGTCCACACTGCTCTTCACATCTGAGGCCATCTTTTTGACTTTGCCTTGGACATCTTTGGCCACTGAGGCAAATCGATCTCTCAGCTGCTTTCCTTGCTCATCCATGGCGTCTTTCAGAGACTGAAGGCGCTGCTGTCCCTTCTTCTTCAAGTCGTTGATGTAGGGCTCAACAGTTTTGCGGATGTTTTCCACCTTCTCCTGGGTGTTCTTGCTCAGGTCATCTCCGTACTGGTTGAGTTTACTCTTGAGGTCTTCGCTGTCCTTTGCAAGGCGCTTCTTCAGCTTCTTCATGTACATACTGACCTTTCCTTGAACATCTTCAATGTTCTGATCGAACATGGATCTCAGGTCTCCGGAGTACTGAATAGCTCTTGTCTTGCTGTCCTCCATATCGTTCTTGAGCTTGTCAGCCAGAGCAGAGATCTCATCGGTGAAACGCTGTTGAGCATCTTGAGCCATGGGGCCAACCTTGCTCTTTAGTTTATCAGCATAATCACTCAGTTCTTCCATGGTTTCTTTGATGAGTCCACTACAAGTAAAGACATCTTAGTATAAGAAAAAAATATAACAATGTTCCTTAACAACTTTTTTTGTTTAGTTTTAAATTGGGTACAGAATTCTTAAGACCCATTAGGTTTCTTTGATTTCTTTGTACCTCTGGGGAGATCTCACTTCACTTCCTGTACTGAAAACACAACAGTAAGTCATAGGGAATCTTTCCAAAGTGAGGTGATATTTCCTTTTAGACAACTGTCACCAGAACAGGTGTCCCTGTTTGAAAGATTTACCCTGTTCTGATTAAAACAATAACATTTTACTATTACTTTCTGCCCCAGTGACACCAGACCAGAAATCTGACAGCAGTTTTAAAGGAGGACTATGGGATAACCTTTTTTCCCATAGCTTTATTTAGGGTCATGGGAGGACATATACTAATGTCCTTCTGTGACTCAAACCTCAGGATACAGCGGGCTATTGCCCGCTATATGCTGAGAGCGCCACAGCCGGGACGGATCTCACCAATATTGTCGAGATCCACCCCGCTGGCCGATTGACATCGGGCTCTACCTATCTAGAGTCAGAGCCAGCTATGCTCGCCCCTCCCCCGTCTGTCCCTCCAGTCAGCGCTGGAGAATTGGAGAGGGGAGAGGGAATTTCCTGTGGTGAGATGATCGGGAAGTGAGTGAGCGGAGGTATGTTTTCGCTCACTTCTCGATCAAAAGAGCCTACGTGTGACAGCTTCAATGTCACATGTCAGCTTTAATTATGGGGATAAGTGTAATTCATTCACCCCATAGTTCTCCTTTAACATTTTCCCACGCTATCCAAAATGTTATAAAAATGTTTTAGGTATACATACTTTAAATCAAAGATCCAGGCAAGTATTTGTTTGTTTGTTTTTAGTTTTGGATATAATTTTGATGGGTTACGACATATGTTAGATATTTATTTAGGGATGCACAGATACCAGTGCCGATACTTGGCATTTTCATGAGATCTACCAGGGTGCAGCTGCGACTGGGCCCTGGTGCTCCACCAAAGCCCTGAAATCATTAGTCTGTATTGTTTTAGAAAAACTATTGCATGATACTAAACAAAACTGCATCAGTAATTGGTATCTGTGAGTACTTGGACAAGAATCAGCACTTGTACTTGGTCTAGAAAAATGGTATTAATGCATCCCTAATATATATATATATATATAGTACAAGTACGGTACTTGGCATCTGAACATCCCATCATGATGACAAATCTTTCCAAAACAGACGCAAACAGTAATATACAGTAAACAGTAATAAAACACCTTTCTAATTATAGTGGAGGAAAGCCGAAGCCTCTAACAGTTTTTTAGTTTTGCTGTTTGTGTCATTAGGGGATTTCCCCTTCCTTCCTGTGTCCATGATACCTTGAACTTGGTCAGTTCACCCACGCAGCCAAAAAGAGCATGCTGGTTGTGGTGGGGTTTTATATTAGAGGGTGCAGCATGCTTTGGAAAATGAAGGTCATGTTTTCACTCCAATGTTATATAGTAAAATAAAGATTTTATACAAAAAATTAAGAAATATGTAAAACATCAGTTAGGAAACTGAGTTAGAAAATTAAGAAATAAAATTGGTCATAAACCATTATAGTTTTCCAGGAAAGTATTTCCCATAGTTCTCCATTCCAAAGTACAAGGGATGCTCACAAAAACAAGCACATGATTTTACAAGTCAGGCCTTGCTTGTTCCACATTCTTCTGTGAATGTAGGTGGAATGCTGACACTGACAAATACAGACTAATTGCTGCAGGGCAGCACTGATGCATTTCGATTTCAAACACATAAACGTGGATGTGATTGGAGCATCTGTCCTGAAGTGCAAAGGGATTACATATCCTGCTGATGTGCAATCTGCGTTTATTTATTTGTAATGCTTATAAAAAAAAGAAATAGCCAAGTGAAATAAACCCCAGCAACCATTAGTCATCTTCACTGTTATGACTAATTTAAACTGTGCAAAGGTAAGATTTGATTGGCTGCATGGGTAACTGCATTTTTTTACATCATCATTGCTCTCTGCAACACCTTGCTGCAGTCAACAGTTCAGGAGAACTATGAGGTGAGTGATTTTCACTCATCCTCATAGTTAGAGCCAATATGTGACAATGAAACTGTCACACATCGGCTCAATAGATCAGGAAGTGAGCAAACACATACCGTCGCTCCCTCACTTTCCAATCATCTCCCTGCAGAGAGCGGTCACCGCTCCCTGCAAGAATTCCCCACCTCCCCTCTCCGATCCTCCAGCACTGACTGGAGGAACGGACAGGGGAAAGAGCGGGCACAGCTGGCTCTGCCTCTAGATAGGCAGAGCCCACTGTGAATCAGCCAACTGGGTGGATCTAAACAGTATTGTCCGGATCCGTCCCGGCTGTGGCGCTCTCTGTATATAGCAAGCTGTAGCTTGCTATATACTGGTCTTTGGGCCCTGGGAGGAGGTTAGTATATGTCCCCCCGTGACCCTAAAGAAACTGTCTGCAATTGAAATTCCCCTCACATTGACATAGTATATGTCCTCCTGTGACCCTTAAAGGAGAACTATGACATGAGTGATTTCCACTCACGTCATAGTTCTAAGCCGACCTGTGACAATGAGACTGTCACAGGTCGGCTCAGTAGATCGGGAGGTGAGGGAAAACATGCCGGGTTCCCTCACCTCTCGATCCTGTCACGGCTCTCTGCCGTGACAGGGGGAGGGGCTGGATTCCCCTCTCCCCGCTCCGATCTGCCAGCGCTGACTGGCGGAACGGATGGGGGAGGGGGCGGGTACAGCTGGCTCTGCCTCTAGATAGGCAGAGCCAGCTGTCACTCACGCAGCTGGGCGGATCCCGTCATCTAAGTCGGGATCCACTCCAGGTGCGGCGTCTCAGTATACCGCAAGCTGTAGCTCGCGGTATACTGAGCTTAGGGTAACGGGAGGACGCTAGTTTGTGTCCTCCCGTTACCCCAAGGAGAACTATGGGGAAAAACACTGACCCCATAGTTCTCCTTTAAGAGAACTATGGGGGGAAAACATTTCCCCCATAGTTCTCTTTTAAGGGTCCTGTTAAACAGGGCAGTGCTTAAAGTTAAGGAGTAAGAAGAAATATAGTTACAACATAGCAAAAATATAGACAAAATCAAGATCTGTTGGAAGTTCTGCATTACAATGCCATGTTACATATGACAATTAAAGGAACACTATCTCAAAAATATTGTTCAAATTCACCCTCCAAAGACATGCTAGGAAGTTAATTGGCTCCTTTCTGGCCCTAACATGTGTCTGTGCAATAGATTGTAAGCTCCGTGAGGGTAGGGACTGATGTGAATGTGCAGCGCTGTGTAAATTGTCAGTGCTATATAGGTACCTGTAATAAAGAAACTTTATGTAGTTTATGGTAGAATTCATTCTATGAATTCCCTTTTTTATTTCACATCACTTTATTTATATTTGTTCCACACTGGCACGCAGGCTAAGCTGTCCAGCACAAGGTACAGTGACAGGGGCTTGGAAAAACTACTAACACTGCAGGAGGTACCTGCAATAGATACTTTTGTAGCAAGTGTAAACTTGTTTTGTTTAAACTGTTGTTTCAATTGCTCAAGCACCCCCTTCACTTGTCAGCTTAGTCTGAATGAAAAGGTTGAAGTCCCTTGATTTAGCTATGGTTATTCTAATTCCAAGCTGAATGCTGGCTTGTTAGTTAACACAATGCCAGAATCAAAACACGGTGTTCATTGAAAATAGTCAAAATCCATCTCATGCTGGTCAAGTGAATTCTAAATGGCTGCTGCTGGCTGCATTTTGTCCCATACTAGGTTTATTTAATAAACCCAATTAGATTGTAATTTCACTTTAAAGGATAAAAAGTAGATATCAAACCAGCAATCATGAAATGGTCTTATATATTTAGAAGGGTTCTATAACGAAATTTAAATTAGTAAATTTAAGCAGAATACAGTAAATGCAGGGAAACCTGCAAAGGCTAATGCCTGAGCACAGCTGTTACGTGAGCTGTCAAGAGCCATCAAGCTACATACTTTATTACTTATCCACGGGCTACTGTTACACACCTATACCATGGAGCCTTGAGCTAGACAGCATGTCTTCGCTTGTTCTGGTCATTCCTACACAACATTCATTACACATCTGTCATCCTTCTGCTCAACTATCTGTTGAGTCTCATGACAATGTTGAGTGAAGAAGAGCAGAACGTGAAATGACTTGTCATAATTATACACCAGAAAGTGAAAGCTGTGGGTGAACCTGTAAGATCGTACATGAAGGATAGATCATTTATGGTTTTCCACTAGATAGAAGGATAGCAAACAAGCAACAGCACACCTTGTTTTCCCCGCAAGACAGATCGTAGAAATGGTTTCCATTTTTCTGTGTCATTACTTACTCAAGTTCTTTGCCAAGTTGAGAGTCTTTCATCTTTGATGTGGCTTCATCTGCGGCCTCCTCCATCTTGTTGAGGGTCTGCCAGAAGCTGTCCAGTGCAGATTCCCATTTTGTCTTGGGTGAATCTTTGAAAAAAGAGCGAGCCTGGGCCCCTGTAGAAAGAACATCAGTGAGCATCCAAACACAATGATCATACTATCATTGAACAGTGCCCAAGTACTTATAATAAGAGAGGTATATCTGGGCTCCAAAAATATGAAGAAAAAAAAATGTAAAGTGCATATAAAGCTACTTATGGTTTTGGTTGAATAAAGACACAGGTCCTCTATCTCTTTTTTACTTCCTCCTGTGTCCCGTTGGGGAGATTCAACCATTCTATTGGTTTTGGTGACCATTGATTTTTGTACAGAAAGTGATGGAAAATCCCAAATTTGTGAGTTGTCACGGGAAAAGGAGGTAAGGGTAAATCTCCCAAAAACCTCTCCCTATGACAGCTGTGCAAGAGGGGATATCTTCTCACTTTAGAGAGATCTTCCTTAACTTCCTGCTATGTCTCTGGGACAAGCAGTGAATGGAAATACCCCTGACAGGACAGCGAGAAGAAGAGAGAAAAAATGAAAGAGGTCATTAACCATCCCCTACTCTATCCAAAACTAAAACGTTTTGTCTTTACATAAACTTTAAAATTAGAAGTTTAGGCAATGATGTTTCAGCCATTAGAGAACTACAGGATTTTAAATCACCGGACAGTTTATAAATGATTAATTAAAATTTGTGTTTAAGATATAAGATTCAGAAATAAAGCTTTATTTGTTCATAAGGCCTAACTCCAACCATAATGTTGGCTTTAAATTTGGATAGAGTTGGGATGAGTTAGAATTTCTGACAGGTGTCAATTTCTATCTGAGACCCGCACAGGGGAAATTTTTGCTCACTTACAGTCCCTGTGAAACCCGTAAAAGGAATAGGAAGTGTAGGGTTCAAAATCCCAGAAAGGCGCACACGATATTGTCAGAAAAGTTCTAACCCTTCCATCTCTCCTCTAAAATAGGTTTTTGGTTTTTCTGTAACCTTGCTGAATAGATTTCCTATCACTTCCAGTCCTAAAAGGAAGTGAGCAACAATCTCCCAAACAGGTTCACAGATTGCAAGAAAAACAGAGTCTCTAACATTTTCCCACCCTGTCCAAAACAATATAAAATATTTTGGCCTGAGATAGGATTTAAATATAACAATATAAAAAGTTTTGGCCTGAGATGGGATTTAAATATAACAATATCAAAAGTTTTGGCCTAAGATGTGCTTTTAAATCTGTGTCTCATTCCTCTTATATCAGTCTCTGTAATATAAGTAATTGGAATAGCAAGCATTAGAACCCCTTATTTGGCCAGAGCAGATGATCACATCTGGGAACCCAACCATAGATCTATTTACTGGAGTCAATGAGAAACATAAGAACCCACTGAGGGGTTCAATATATCGGTATCTAAAAAAATGATGATGTTGATGATGATAATAATAATTGTAAACATTATAATAAAATATCACTTTTGGGTAAAATACCCCTCACAAACTGTATACACTGCATCCTCACCCCCATACAATGGATATATATCGGAAGAACAAATTAGGTCCTTTATAGTCACTATTAGCTTTTATAGGTCATCCTAAAATGAATTACCTGCTAGGAGCCCAATTGTCACGAGTAGAAAAATCACTTTCATGGTTATTCTTTATATTCCTATGGGAGAAAAAAAGAATTGTTAGAATATGAGAATCTAGATGCCTGCCTTTCCTTGCTTATCTCCATCCATGGATGCCACCAGTGAAACACCATACTCTCTGTGATGTCCATCAGTAAAAAAGCTGAAATTACACACTCAAAAAAAACTCCTGTCTATGTGGTGCATTAAGCAAGCGTAGGCTACCCATTTCTCCAGGTCATTGTGAAACTATACGAGTTCCAGGAAACCCTAGAAACCACAGGGTGGGACTCGTAGTTCCATAACAGCTGGGGAACCACAAAACATGTTTTAAAAGCTCAATTTGTCTACAGCTGATAATTTTGTTTTTTTGGTACCCACCAGCTCCTTCCATCTATAAGAAGTCTGATTAACAAATCTATCACCTGATATCCTAGCAAATTCCCATTCTTTGTTATACTATAGGAAGTGTCTCATTCCTCTTATATCAGTCTCTGTAATATAAGTAATTGGAATAGCAAGCATTAGAACCCCTTATTTGGCCAGAGCAGATGATCACATCTGGGAACCCAACCATAGATCTATTTACTGGAGTCAATGAGAAACATAAGAACCCACTGAGTAGTTCAATATATCGGTATCTAAAATAATGATGATGTTGATGATGATGATGATAATAATAATAATTGTAAACATTATAATAAAATATCACGTTTGGGTAAACTACCCCTCACAAACTGTCTACACTGCATCCTCACCCCCACTGCTATATATATATCAGTACACCTTCCTACCACAGAACCTGTCCTTCTAATCCCAGTCCATGTCCCTCACCTTCTCAGGAGCAGCAAGTCTCTGTCCCCCCCCTCCTTCTCTGTCTTTATATAAGCAGCAGGCTGTGAGCTGGAAGGGTTGCACTCTTGCACCTTGAAGCCAGAGGCAGACACATGATCAGTATTAGGTTGGAGGGGGCGAAGTCTACCGAGAAATGTATTCTTTCTTGAGACTTAACCCTGGGCTGCCTGGAAAGTGAAAGATTAGGAAGTGATGAAAGTATCCAATGATTAATGCATCTTCAGACATTAGTTAACTTTGCCAAATTCTTGGGAGTTCTTTCATTTTTTTCCCTGCCTGTCTATTACTTAGGACTTCAACCTAAATGTGGTCCTCAGAAGATGCTCTAGCACCTGCTCTCAATGACAGGCACTTTTTGGAAGCTGTGAACATATATAGGCACACCCTAGCATGCAACTTTAGGCTTATAAAGCAGAGAGGAGAGAGCTTAGCCAAAAATTTCCAGTGCCAACTTGAAAGCAATACCATTGAACAAGGTTTTTAACCTTTGCAAATGATCTTGACCCCATGATCAGTTGGCTAGGTGTGTTTGCTGGTGTCCATACACAAAAGGTTGTCTCCTGATTCAGCAGAATGCAGAGTTCTATTGAATAAGACATCTGCATGCAAAGCAAACAGCCTACTGCCTCCAACTAGGGCTGTGTACGATACATCCAGTGGCGTAACAATCACCATATCGACCCAGGCGGCCGCTATGGGGCCCGGGCACAGGGGGGGCCAGCCAGGGCATCCCTCTGATGCCGTGTGGGCCGCCTGGGTCGCTATGGCATGTAGGGGGCTGGCTGTCACTGACATAGCTCAGCAGCGGCTGTGAAGATCACTGACAACCTGTCAGTGATGTGTGCAGCGGCCACGGCGCGTTTCCCCTCACAGCCGCTGCGGAGGTGTGTCAGTGACAGCCAGCAGCTGCGGCAGAAGAGGCCGGCATTCGCAGTGAAGGAGGAGGCGGGGCCCGCTTAGAGCAACCCCACCTCCTCTTACATCACTGGCCAGCGACCTAAGAGTAGGTGGGTCCTGTCGATAGAAGAGGAGGCCGGGCCCGAGACGGAAGAGGAGGCGGGGCCCGGCGACCACGGAGGCGGACAGCGCTGACAGGTAAGAGGTGTGCAGCCCATCTGAGACCCTGCAGAGCCCACTATAGAGACAAGCTGGTTCTGCATGAAGGAAAAATCAAGAAGCGGCATTTATTGCAAGTGATTTAATCAGCATTTGAAATAGCTTTTATACTTTAATATCACTAAAGCTAAAATGTAAAGACAGTTGGGAATTATGCAGCCACTGGGGTACTACAAGTCCCACCATCTCCCTAGAGAAACTGATACTAGTCACATAGATTAGTCAACTTTGTCTTAGACAGAAATAGATTTGCTTTCATTCTGTATGTCAACACTTCGCCAGCTGGCAATCACTGACCCACACAGATAATTGTGCAATACTGTAAATTTTATAACCTCAGCACAGCAGACAAACAATGATAACTTAGCATTCAAAAATGTAAAGTGTGTACAAAGTGTCATCTCCTCTTAGTTTCTTCTCTCTGCCATGTTAAGCTGGCCAAAACATGTATAGTTTTTTCTTGTTCAACCTGCAGGCTAAACAAGAGAAAACTGCCCAATCCATGCTAAACATTGTGGAAGGAGGAATCTATACTACTTTGTTGTACTCTCCTGTGTTTTTTTATTAGTAGAATTAGCACCATACCTGAGAAAGTGGTGGGTCCAAGAGATTAAAGCTCACCCTTGGGTTTCATTCCTCCCCATGAAACAAAACCCAATTTCTCACCTAAATCTGTGATAACATGACAGGCAAATCCAGAGGCTTCTTTCTTGTGAACTTAGGTGTGAAAGGGTCCATTCTGGAGTACCCACATTGCTTTCTGGTGATGTGGACCCTTCCCATTGGCTGTATGCAGAGTCTATCCTAGGAGTCCTTACAGCGTCCTTAAGATTTCCATTGGTGGCATCATGATGTCATAATGTGAGGAGTGTCAGCAAGACCATTCAGCAAACCTGGCCTGGCAGACCTGCCACCCCCTTTCCGGCCAGAGCATTCCAGGTTTCTAAGAGCCGGGCAGGAAGATGTTTACTGGCCATACACATCTTTCCGCCCGCATCTTAGCAGCCGGCATCCCGTCAAGCTCCTGGCAACCACAGTGACAAGAGTTGCCAAGGAGAGTCACATGGTGGTGCACCGTGGACAGTAAAAAGGTGTCTTATGAGTGTTTTATGTTTCTTTTTTTATTGTGAATGCCTGAAGATGGGCTTTAAAGCAGTTAGAGACAGCAATGCCTGAGATTCCACACTGCACATATACAGCTGAGGCTGTAGGCACAGGAGTTCCTAGGCAGAGTCATATGTCATGAAGTGTATTGATGAAGGTGAAGTTTTGTTGCCTCCGATACACAATGGCTGTTTTTATGTGATGGTATTACGAACAATTAAAGGCACTTTGGATTTCTTTATGTTGCGGTTTGGTGCCCATTTTTACGTCTATACTTCTGAATTGCTTCCAGGTGCCCATTGAGGGAAGCCTGTGCATTTGAGAGCTTCTTTACCAGAGCCAGTGAGCTTGGTTGAAGATTTCCTTGCATATGAACCATTGTAATCCCAGTGTTTCTTAAATGTGTGTTTTTCTGAAGTGTCCAGAACATAGAGTCATCTCAGGTGATATTTTTATTTCAGTCTTGAAGCAGCTGTGATTTCACACTGTGACTTCCTCCAGATGCACAGCCAGCATGTTCTAGCAGTGTCTGCATGTTGCTATGTAAGCCTCATACTTGCCAACCACCTTTACTGCAAAGCTCTGCCAAAGCCCCACAATATATAGAAATTTGTATTAACAATACCTTATGTGTATGTTTGTTCTATAATAGATATAAATATTCTTTAGAACCTTTATGCTCTAGGAACTTTGTTGAAGTTTTTGGGGGACTATTTTCCATGTCCAAGGTTTACAAGTAGTTATTTTTTTAATCAAAAATAGTTTTTGTCTTTTCTTCACATTCCTTACTTCCTTCTGTTGTCTGAGAATGAAGCCTGAGCCTCTAATAGGATTATTATATTGGCTGAAAACAAAAGTAAAACAAAAAGAAACAAAAAAAAAACCAAAACAAAAGAGAGCCTAGTAGCCAGCAGCTTAAAAGATTGGTGCATTTCTCATTAGGGAGCCTTTTTTACTTTGTTTGATCCTCCCTTTTACCTAAAAGGAATGTTTATTGTGTTTTTATATATTATCTTTTTATTAGTCCTTTTGTTTCTAGTCAGACACATATGAAATACTGCAAAGGAATATTTCTTATTTACACTTGCAGACAGCAGGATGAACGCTGGGCTCCTTTTCATAATTACCAGATTACCTTTAACTGCTTAGAAAAAAAACCTGCTTTATTTGTTTACAGAGCTCAGGCTCCAATTTACACTTCTACCCCCTCTTTCACTTTGCATTAAAGGGAGACAGTCTGAAAGCAAACAACCTCTGCTGTGCTCTCTTTTTATAAAACTATTATTAATTTGTGACAACATATATTGTGTGCACTCTATTGAATATTTATTTGTAACAAATCCTTATAGAGTGAATGAGCTGTGTAGATCATTAAATATAAATTGTTTAATATAAATAAACTACTAAAGGTTTTATGGCACCTTCTATGGCTCAGATGGCTGCTGGATTAGAAGCTTGCTGATTTCCTAAACCCAGAACAATTTGTTGTCTGTGCTCTTTGTACTGTAATGTAAACTGAAAATATAATGCAAAAAAAAAAATCAAAAGCAGAGGCTACTATCAGTAAAAACAACAGATCCAGAGACAATTAAACTCTAAAAGTCTTCCCACCCTCTCACCGTTCCTGAGACTCTTTATTGGTCATCTAATTTGATGGGTGCTTCACTGTCTAATTGTGAGCATCAGAATGGTAGAGGCACCTCAACTTTTGCAGGAAAGGTTGGTTTTTGCTAATAACTTCAGCTGGCTGTATCTCTGGATTTACTGGTCACTGGGACACACAATTCATCAAAGGTATGCTCTGCTCTTGCGTTTTTGTCATCCCTCTATGTGACATCATCATTCTACTGCAGTCTTCAGGACCTGGGAGGACCCTACTGCTGGACAACCAATGAGAAGTGTCCATGTCACCCATGTATTTTCATAAGCACCTGATGAAGGACCCTCCTCTTCATCATTAAAAAAAGATGCAAGACTTTGCCCTGACCTGTCAGGTGACCATAAGGTAAAGTGAATATAAATGAATATAAGGGTCTTTCAGCTTATTTTTTTTTCTTTTTAGCTCCCTATATCTTTGCCTGCCTTTTCTATTGTTTCATCATGACATGAGGCATTTAGTAAGCATTTATTTACTGAAGTTGCATTAACTTAGGGGTATGTGGTCAGCTTAATTGCAAACAATGTTTAGCAGAGCCACATATTTATTTCAAATATAGAACAAAAAGGGGGCCCCACTGCTGATAATAGAGTCTAATATGGTATTTTATTGATAAAGATAAACAGAATGAAACAGCCAAAATGTTTGAGTGGTCCACAATATGCCCCTTCATCAGGGCTTATTTGTTACTTACGGTAGTTCCTTTCAAATGTTTTGGACTCAGAGAAGACTGATACATACGAATAGTTAGCAGTTCTAGTGAGGTATTGTAAGTTTCAAGTTCATTCTGCTAGAAATCCAAACTTTCACTACAACTGCTAATTATTGTAATTGTATTAGTCCTTCTCTGAATTGGCAAGTGGGCACACATGTTTAATATGTTTAAAATATTGACTGTGCTGGGCTTTGCATGCTTTAGCTAATGAAAACAATATGTTTCGATTAACAGGCTTAGGCCCGAGTCACATAAGTGATCCTAGTGAACAAATGGCCAGCACACTTAAAGCTAAAGACATTGACATTTACTAACGTCTAAGATGTAATGCAATGAAGTATTGGGCAATGAGACTTCAGGTGCTGCTTCAATGGATTCACATAGGTTTCCTAAAAATATTTTGTTTTATTATACAAGACATTCATAAAAAT